GCCGAAATTTTCCGATAGCTCCAAAAATGAAGATTTTATAGGGTACGGGGACTAAAATTAACGTTTAAAGTGACCTTGACCTTGACCTATGACCTTGACCTCGGATTTTTTCGAATGTGCTACTGCTTCTCGATGAGACGAACACAGTGGTGGCCGAAATTTTCCGATAGCTCCAAAAATGAAGATTTTATAGGGTACGGGGACTAAAATTAACGTTTAAAGTGACCTTGACCTTGACCTATGACCTTGACCTCGGATTTTTTTGAATGTGCTACTGCGTCTCGATGAGACGAACACACTGGTGGTCGAATTTTTCAAATCGGACCATAAACAAAGATTCTACAGGGTACGCAGTATTTTGACCTCTCAAGGTCAAACGGTTTGACCTAGGAAAAAAAGGTCACCATTTTCGAACTCAGCGTGCCATGGGCTATCTGTATGCCAATTTCGAGCGAAATCATTACTCGAATTTGAATCCGAATACGAATACGACGCTAACTTTATGGACATCGACCTCAGAAGATCGGAAGTGGGTCTTCCGACTTCCGAGAATGTCTTACTGTCATAGGCGGCGGAACGGGGAGGGCACCGGGCACCGTACCCCCCTTTGATTTTGGCATTTTAACATCAGCCCTATGGGCGTTGCACGGAAAGAATGGGACCAAAAGTCGGCAGTGTCCGCTCCCCCCCCCCCACCTTAATTGAAGGTGTTCCGCCGCTACTGCTTACTGTCGTCAGTCTGTTACGATTTGCTACGCGCCCCTAATCGGGCCGGTCGCTACGAAGTCGCGGTATGCACTGACAGCCACGGCATAGCAAACTCACCCTTGTGGATGCAACGGGATTGGCGACAAAGCAGCAGCCCTTTCGCTGAATTAGTGCATGACATACTTAGCGCTGCTCACACTAGAGGCTTGTTCGTCAAAATTGCTTCATATGTGCATTGGTGGTCTGGTGGGTAAATCTAGCTATACAGACATGCAATTTCGTGGACACCAAACTATGGCGCTAATAGAACAGTTCAACAGGCAACCATGTTGCAAGTGCTCCGAACTCCAAGCACTGCCGTAAGATACACTCAGTCCTATCACAAAGCTTCACCGTGTTCTCAGGGTGCGTCTTCAAAGCAGCACCTGTGCTGCCCATACAGTGAACGCGTGCTGCCTGACACATCATTCCGGACATGCAAGCCACACCTTACGTACCGAAGAGACCGGGTTGCTGGTATATGAATATTAGGCACAAACTTCATGATATGGCTATTGCATTTAAGTATTGCTTGTCATAAGCATATCACTTTTCCTTAAACCTGGCGAGCTATAAATGGAATTGTTTTTGTTTGTTGTTTAGTTCCAGTAAAGTATAAAAAAAACGATTTTCTCCATTCACCACTGTGACCGGTGACGACTGGAGATGGTGAGAGGGGCTCCGAAGCACCGATCTGGCGCAACCGCACGATAAGCCGAGCACCGATACGGGTCACTAAGTCATGCAGGCATGTACTTTGCACTGTCGATATATCGCTGCCGTGCGTACACCGCGCCGGTTAGGGAGCTGAGCAGTGGGGGCTCGAGCGGCACGGCGTACGGAGCTCCGGTGAATTCGGAAAGAGAGGGTTGGGGGATGGGACGATACGGGGGAGGTCGGAGGTGACATTCCTGGGAGTTCAATTAAAAAAGGCGGTCGGAGGAGCCAGGAAGACTCGCCCCAGCTGAAGCAGGACGAAGAGAGGATTTCTGTTTGCCTTTGGAGGAACAGAGAAGAAACTATCTCCAGCTGAAGGAGCCGGAAGGAAGTGAAGTTGCAACAGTTACAGGGAAAGCAGTCCAAAGCTGAAGAAACCAAGAGCTACGGTCTTTCACGGGAAAAGGACCGGCGAGGGACTTTGGCTGCAGGTTGACTTGCTCAGTGGCTTCGTCCGCTGCAGGGCAGTAAGCCAGGTGAGAAAAGGTTCCCACTTCCTTTATTGTCCTACCCTGAGGGCTGAGCTCCGCTCCACCGTCCATGCATCGTCGCATAACTTCGACGGTCCTTTCACGTGACTGAAGCTTTTGATCGGTGAAAAACTGTTTAAATGGGATCCCTATTTTTGCGTCGGTTTTTCGGAATGCTTGAGACGATGAGTTAGATTATGGATGGTAGTTGTCAGATTTTCGTATCCAGCTTGAACTGGATTTTGTATTCTGTATCGGCTGCAATTAATTTAAAACACGCAATTATAGTGTCCACTGTCTTTGAATCTGGGGAAGGTAATAATCCCATTCTCATTGCTCAATGGCTTACTCAATACTCATGTCATTCACAGCGGGTCAAGCTCAGCCCATGTCCTTGTTCCAACGAGCGATAGTTGTTGGGCAATACAGGGTCTCGGTACTTCTCGCACAGGTTGCAACATCCCAGACCAAAGCTGAGTCAAGTGGAAGCCAGAGCTAGCGAAAACCAGGGCTTAAAGCGCAGGCCCGGACTCCTACAGCTTGATTGGAATATTCCGGGTAATTGGGTATTCGGAAGAGCTTTGGCGCCCAAGTCGAGCATGACCATCAAAGCCGGGCACAGGCCCTCCACTCACAGACTCTTTCACCTCCAGGTACGATGGTTAGCAGCACGAATCACGAAGCAGCCGGTACATCGCCGCCTGTCGTCAGCAGCCGGCCCTCCAGCTTGCCTCGTCACTCGCCAGGTGTCTCTGCCGGCGCTAAAAACAAGCAGCGGCGCCGGAGGAACCGCGACCCGTGGTGGAAGCGCTGGTGCTGCTGCGGCTGCCAGTGCTCGATCGAGTGTGACTGGTGCGCCTCGGAAGACGAAGACGAAAACGACGGAAACGGGAGCGGAGACTCAAACGGCGGAGGTGTGCCGAGCGGAGAGGGAGAAGGGGAGGGAGAGGGAGGTGGAGAGGGAGGTGGAGGGGGAGGGGGAGGCGGTGGAGGAGATGGGCACAGCAGTGACGAGGAGGATGGAGACGCAGGGGAGGGCCAGAACGGCGACACGGGAGGTCAGGGCAGTGGACACGGAGGTCAGGACGCGGCCGGAGGTCACGATAGCGGTGGGCATGGGGGAGGTCGTAGCGGAGACCATGACACAGGACACGGAGGCCACACCGGAGCTACAGGAGGGACAGCCAGCGGCGGGGGAGGACGCAGCGGGGGTGGGTTCAGCGGCTCTAGCCGCCACAACTTTAGCAGGTCCAGCGGTAGCCGACGGAGCAGTTTCAGCTTTGACCATTCCAATGGCGGCTCCTTCGGTGGCGACTCAGGAGGCGGTGATGATTAGGGACAGCTGTGTTTTCACGTATTTCAGAGGTTATGGCAATAGTTAGGCCTCACCAACGCTACCCCCAGTAACATGGTAGGTAGGCGTGGCCACTGTTGGCATTGACGAGTTTCTTATTGTTTTATGAATATTATAGATTGTGGATAACGATGTTCGATGTTTATGCTGACGTAAGCCGAAGCTCTTGTACCTATTTAGTTCACACTCATGGATGGTGAGTATGCTGCTAAGTGATATGAATGGTGGTGAAGATGTAAATAACTCTACTATAAAAAAAATTATAGCTTTGCTACATCGTCTCTACTATTGGAAGTTCCAGAACCAATTATCCCATATTGTTATCGTTGAAACAAGGAAATGTTTCATGCTGAGATCATAACGTGGATGTGTTTTCGAGTAATCGCTATGTAAATTTTCCTATTGGTCATCTTGAAAAAGAAGCGGTTTCGAACACGATCAAACATGCTCTTAACGGCTCAGCTCAGCAATAGCACAAATAAAACCAGTAAAACGCCTTTTGGGCGAAGAACGAGCGAGCGAGATAGTGAGCCCTGCACGTGCAGAAGGGCGAGAGGGTACTTCCAACGGGCTTGTGCAAAGCACCCTTCTAACCGGTCGCTAGCGGTGTACCAAATTTGAACGCAATCGGCCCAGCCGTTCCTGAGATCTGGAAGCGGCATTCTGCACGTGCGCACGTGCAAACGGGGTCCAAAATGACTTTTGCACGGCACCCTACTAACCGGTCCCCAACCGTGTACCAAATTTGAGCGCAATCGGCCCAGCCGTTCTCGAGATCTGGAAACGCCCCCTGCACGTGCGCACGTGCAGTAGCACCCTAACCGTAACACATGGGAATGCATTGCCTGGTGGGTGCCTACCTGTATGCCAAGTTTCAGCGAAATCGCCCCAGTAATTACCGAGTTACTGAAATGGGAACAAATTTGGCACCTCTTATTGTTGTATTTTGCACGTGCAGTGGGGGTCACTCACATAGATGAAGAGTATCCGACCTTTGGTAGAAGGGATGCAGCAACCCTATAAAAATGACCGTAAGACAATCGCTCAAGCCGCTGCTGAGATATGGGCCTCTCAAAATAATTACTTTTGCAAAACTGCTTGAACACCCTTGACTTTTCACGTGGCACGTGCCACGGCGGTCACTGAGATGTATCAAAAGTAGTCAATTACGGGGTAGAAGGGATGGGGCTACCCAGCAAAAAAGACCGCAGGCCGTTCGGTCCAGCGGTTGCTGAGATATAAGCCTCTCAAAAGCGTTACAGGCCGGGCCGCTCATACTGAGATTTTTCCGTTATATTGAAAAGACTTCGCTTCGCTCGCTGCGCTCGCTCGCTCGTAATAACAACAAAATTAGGTGCGTTGACTGACCGTACCATTAAGTACAGCAGTCAGTAACTTGAAAAACTTCGCTGATCCTGATTGTGGCCATGAGTGTCAGGGCCAGGCCGTGGCGGTTGCTGGCGGTCTAGTGGAATATGTTCAAGCTGCAATTCGTTATTCGCTCATTCGCTTCCTCGACCGACTTCCCTGTCATTGAATCCGCCTGCGGTGATCAACCAATGTGCTGTGTTATGCTAAGCGGACGGTTGGAATCGGCACAACCTACCAGGGCTCATTTCCCCTGTCTGGCCAGCACTCGCAGAACACCCACTCCCAGACCAGAGCAGCCTCGTTCCCACCCACTCCCCCACCCGTCACCCAAACACACCTGGTCGCGACCGTCCGTGTATTCGCGTGCGCCGTTTATATGATACCGATCTTGTTGGCCACATCGAGCGCGTCATAGTCGGAGGCCAGACGGACGTAGGCCTTCTTCTGTCCATCGGGCCGGATCAGGGTGTTCACCTTGGCCACTTCGATCGAGTACAGCTTCTTGACGGCCGACCGGATCTGCCGCTTGGTGGCGCGCAGGTGGGTGAGGAACACGAGCGTGTTGTTGTCCTCGATCTTCTTCATCGACGCCTCGGTGGTCATCGGGTGCTTGATGACGGCGTGGGCGTCCATCCTGCCGGGAGCGGAGGTCAGTGTGTAACAGACATTTGTAGCTAACAAGGCACGGGGATACGCGACAGTGGTGTCGGGGACCGAGCTCGAACGGGCGGAGAATGCATGCACAAAAATGGGTGCTATAGTACACCATCCACTACAAACAGATACCGTAAAATGGGGTGTTAAGGGACAGTTTTGAGGTGTTTTGCTATATAACTCAAGAAGGGTTGGAGATAGAAGCATCAACTTGTCAGCATTTTATGTGGAATTTGGTGCTTTACATGCCTGCTACATTAAAGTTTAAAAAATATATACATGTATATTATTTTTTATTATTTTTCATCACTGTCCCTTACCACCCTAATGTGGGGTGCTAAGGGACACCTATATTATTCCAAGAAATGGTCATCAAATGCCCACAATTGGGGTGTGAAAGGGCACACAATTTATTTATTGAGATGTTTTGCATATTCTGTCACAAAACAAGTCAGGTTCATTCACCACTAATGGCCTTTTTAGCCAATTACATGTAATGCAGTTTACGCTTCTGGAAAATGTGCTAATTATAAGGTAAACAGAACCAAAAAGTACTATGTCATCAACAAAAACCTATTTTGAAGCTAGTCACTTGTCATTATGTTGCCCTCTTTGTTTTGGCCTTTTTATGATGACATCACATTTACCTACATCAGTCTTTCATTGACCCATCATTGTAAAAGAGAGTGTTAAGGGAGTTTTGAGGTGTTTTGTTATATAACCCGGCAGTTGCTGGGGTATTTCGCCACCCACCGTTTGCTGGGGGGGGGGGGGGGCGTTAAACGCCCCCAGCCGATAACTCGAGAACCAATAGGCGCAGCGAAACGCGGCAAACGAAAGAGCGCGACGAGACGCTTCAGATGAGTACTTTAAAGTTGAGTTTTGAGGTCACAGGTCGGGTCAAGGTCAGGTCAAACACCTGAAATCGGGCTTTCAGTAGCATGGACTTCAGGACTTCGCAATGGGCGCCTCTCGTCATAAACTCTGTCCAAACGGTGCACAATCCATCATATAAGGCCTACAAGAGTGTCAGCTCCATGTAGGGGTCAGTCAAGCATAGGTCAGGGTCAAGGTCAGGTCAACCGGGTAGGCACATATCCCCGAAAATCAAAACTGATATTCGCAGCCTGTGACACATGTTTTATAGGTAATTTGGGGCGTAGAACACGATGGTGACATTCATTTTATCATATGTGTACGTGTTTGGCTCAAAAAGTTCAATTTAAGAAATGCATGTATCATGGTCGTGAAGTAGTCACGAAAAATTGCCAAGATTCAGTTCAAGATTATGGAAAATGCGGAGCGATAATCAATAATCGAAGATAGCCATTTGATTGATCATGGTATTGGCAGTCTAATAGCGTTTACGGCATGTCTGTATGTCTATTCTGTGATTTTATATGATTTTTTGAACATATGCCGTTTTTGGTCGAAAACTCAGAAATCATGACGTCACTAAAACCTCGATATCTCAAAAATTTTCCGACCGATTTTTTTAAAACTTTGTCACAATAAACTTCAATCAATTCCCTACAGGTACCCAAAATTTGGCGCGCCTGCGGCGCGCCGTTTTTATGCTATGGCCCGGCGAAAAAAGTGGGGGCGTTTAACGCCCCCCCCCAGCAACTCGCGGGATAACTTAAGATGTGTTAGAGATGAAAGCATGAACTTGCCAGCATTTTATGTGGAATTTGTTGTTTTCCATGCCTACTGAAAGAAAACTTCATGAAATTATATTTAGATATTATTTTCTATTTTTTCTTCCCTGTCCCTTAGCACCCCACATCCACCTCAAAATATGCATGTGTCCAGAAAAGAGGAAGAGGATGATGAATGAATGGGTGGATTTGTTTAAGTTTTTCAGGAAACATGTGCAATACATGTGACAATACACCTATGCATTCATTTTACCTGTACACCTACTAGTTTATGTGGTACACACAGAGTTTTGGAGATGTCTCAATTTTGTGAAAATGTAGCATGATTTCAAAACCATTTTTTAACCAAATCACTTGCATGAAAAACCATGCCATTTTGTCCTATAGTCAAGAACAAAACAGTGTCAACTACCACACTCAAGTTTTTATTTAACCTTCTCAAATTAGGAACTTAATATGACTCAAAGTTTTTCCCACGCAACTGTCCCGTATCACCCCACTGTCCCTTAACACCCCATTTTACGGTACGTTTGTGGGAAAAAAGAAAGAAAATCGTAAAATAGCATTAACCCGGCAGGCGGTGGGCCTCCCAGCCACCTTCCGCGCGGGGGGGGGCATTTTTTTTGCCCCCCCTCGTATTTCCGAAACTACTGGACGGATCCGGAAAACTCAAACGGCGTTCGATAGCCGTCAAATTTGTCGAAGGAAACCAAATTTCATTGACCTCGGGGTCACCAATGACGTCACAGGTCAGGTCAAAGATTAAATGTTTCACCGTTCACGGGGCTTCTAAGGAAAGCGCTATAACACCGAGTAAAACGCATTTTTCGAAAATCAGCGATAAGGCGTCAGTTGTCTAGTACATATGTTGCTATTAGAGGTCACTGGTCATACCAGGTCAGGTCACAGGTCAGGTCACCAAAGGTCACCACATGAACCCAACTTTACTAAGGTTGTGCGATGCATGTTTTATGGCCAGTTTTTCATTTCCAACTCAATGGTATTGGTTATAAGACCATCAGGTACGGTTTAGGTCACTTTCTGGTGGAGGTCAGGTCAAGGTCAGGTAAAAAAAAGTCAAATTTCAAAGTTGACATTTTTGCATAAAATGGGTATCGATTCGATGCAGCTCGTCACGGGGAGTCTAATGGTGGTCTTTGTTTTGCGCTACGAGGTCTAGAATTGCTAAAAATTGAGTTTGAAAATTTGACGTCATCAATTTTGAACAGTTTTTTCGCTATAACCTGGCCAAAAAATGAGGTATTGATCTCAAATTTGGTATGTAGATAGAAGGCGGTAGGGACTATCACATATATTCCGTTTTTTCGAAATTCAAAAAACTTTTTGGATTTTTCGGCTATTATATTCAAAAAATCTATTTTTTGATTTTTGGGGGTCAAAATCCAAAAAATTCGAAAAACCGAAATATCAGTTTTGTAGCCCTCTTGATTCCACACCTTTTATGTCTGGAACATTTTTCTGTATCTCTAAAGCTGTAGGCCTGACAGCTCTTCCCGCGAAACCTTTTTTTGGGTCGAAAATGGCAAAAAATGACGTCACTCTGACGTCATTAGCGGCCAACCTATCATAGCCTTTGGAAAAATTTTTGGTCACCATGTGCGCTAGCTACTCCCGGGAGGGTACTGAAAGTTTAGTGACGATCGGCGCAGCGGTTCTCGAGATATATCGAAGAAACTAAAGGGGGGGGGGCAAAAAAATGTCCCCCCCCACCGCCTGGAAGGTTAACGGCTAAGATGCAGTAAATAGATACTGCCATAGATGCCATAGAAAATCTCTTTCCTCATACAAAACTTCGGTTAAAATTAAGAAAAAAACATTGACATAAGGTCAAATAATCTCTAGGTACAGCCCACCGCTAAAGTAATGTAGGGTTTTACCAATCTCAACGATTGGCTTTGACTGGCGATTGTTTAATGCGGAGTGATCGAAAAAAAGATGTAAATAGCTAAAATTGCAGCTGCAAGGGTGACGATACATATAAGCTACATTCAAAGTTTCATTGTAGTCTGGCTAATCATTCCTAAGCTTCAGAAGCAGAACATACCCATGACTGAAACCCCACATTACTTCTGCTGTGGACTGTACTTTATTTGACCACTTATCCGATGTAAAACCATTGGCCATAAAACAAACTAACAAATACATCATCTGTAACCAGACTTGTAATTCGAGTCAGGGTTACTCCGCTTTGTCGGGTAGCCCCACATGCCTTATAAGGAAGGGAAAGGTCGGGTCACTGGAGATGCGACATTTCCTACGGACGGGACTGAAAGGGTGCGTGTTCCCATATTGGAAATCTAGCATCTCCACACGCCAGCGCTCGGAACGCTCTTGGCATCCTGCCAGGTCACGAGGGGTTGCTCGACAAAGCGGAATAACCCTGACTCGAATCACAACTCTGTCTGTAACACACCAGTAAAACGCCTTTTGGGGCGACCAACGGAGCGAGCGAGAGGATGGGCCTTGCACGTGCGAAATTGCGAGGGGGTACCTCCAACTAACTTGTGCACTGCACCCTACTAACCGGTCTTTAGCGATGTGCCAAATTTCAGCGCAATCGGCCTAGCCGTTCTCGAGATCTGGAAGCGGCACACTGCACGTGCGCACGTGCAAGCGGGGTCCAAACTGACTTTCGCACGGCACCCTACTAACCGGTCCCTAACCATGTACCAAATTTGAGCGCAATCGGCCCAGCCGTTCTCGAGATCTGGGAGCGCCCCCTGCACGTGCGCACGTGCTGTAGCACCCCAACCTTAACACATGCAGATGAATTATCTGATGGAGATCTAACTGTGTACCGAGTTTCAATTCAATCGGCCCAACCGTTGCGCCGTTATTGAGGTTGCAATTTTGGGGGTTCTTAAAAAATGTCCAACTTTACCACGCGCCACGTGCGGTGGTTGGCAAGAACGCATGGTGGCCATCACACCACAGAACTTTTACGTCCAAGTGACATTCAGTAAAGAAGACCGCTTGTCAATCGGATGTCCCGTTCCTAAGATATTAGCTTTTGAAGAGCGTCCCCACGGCCGGCCGGCCGGCCGCTCATACTCAGGATTTTCCCTTAATTCAGCATGAGACTCCGCTCGCTTCGCTCGCTCCGTAATTAAGCCAATGAAATCAATGACGGGTACTAACATCGGACCAATCATTGAGCCAAAGTACGACTGCAATAGTCAGATTGTGCCCCTCATGGACCAAAATACGACCGTCCAAGCTCACTCTGTGCGACATACCCGTGGAGCTAAGCCACAACAGGGGTTGGTGTTACAAAAGAGCACGAGCGGGCTTGAAGAGTGTCCATCGGGTCAATGAAGCACGAGACATTGCCCTGCCCTGCTCAAAGGAATGAATTTCAACTAAAATTTGCTGTGCCGCAAAACTAACGATGTCATGATACTCCCCATCACCTTACAGTGGATGAAGCAGCAGACTTAGTAAGCAAGAGGCCCGAAAGTCACCCGAAAGTCTCTGAGCACGACAATAACATTCGGATAGTCATGTAAGTGGTAACTCTAAGCTAAATAAGCCAGGCTACTTGCCAACAAACCAAGGGACTCTAAGAGAATATGGGACACATCCAATTGCCTGCACAGTGCACACCAATCTTGAGATTTTTGCGTTCAGCCAGACAGCCAATACCAGTTTGATATTTTGCGAGTGCGAAATCGGTCCGTTTAAGCAAATTAATTGCAATGCAATGCGGATGTGCGGTGATGTGGATGTGCGGTGATGTGGATGTGCGGTGATGTGGATGTGCGGTGATGTGGATGTGCGGTGATGTGGTGTGAGAGGGATAACTGCAATAATGTGTTGTAAATTGTAACCAGTAACACGCCATGTAATTTTTTAAAAATAAATTTAGCTCTAATGTTTGAATGGAAGGATTGACAGAGCCGGAGCCCACGCTAAGCAAAGCTTGTTGTGTAGACCGGAGACCCCGACCCCTACCGTCCGATCGCGCAATTCCGGGTAACGAGAGAATTTAGATACCAAAGATTAACGTGCCCTTCAAAGCCGGACACGGCCTGTCCCACTAACTGCCTTCAAATGGCTGCGGCTGCTCCCACCAACCACAGACCATCCCCGTCAGGAGTCTCAAATATCGAGCGCCGGAGCGTCTCGAACTTGGGCTCTCACTGCCGGGAGTCCCATGCCCTAACAAATAAGCTACAGGACAGACAAATTGCCAGATTACCCAAAATAAGGGAGTGTGATTTAAAACATAGACTGAACAAGTGCCAGACCTAATCCCCATTGCCATCACTAGCTCACCTGTTCCTCCTGGGCACAGAGCGCTGCGGGTACTTGGGGTTCTTGGGCATCTTGAGTGTCTTGGGCTTCCTCCACTTGACGGAGGTCCTGATCTTCCTCACCCGGGTGCCATTGGGTCCCTTGACAATCTGTAATGGTGTAATAAAGTGGTTAAATAGATGTAGCTGAAACTTACATGCAGGACATGATGCAATGTAAATGTAGAATGGCATTAGCTGCAGACCTTGGTACCTCATGAAGTGTAAGGTGAAAAAGAGCAGAGAAGAAATGACCTTTTGTCAGGAAAGCAATTTTGGAATATTTGCATTGTTTTAATACAATGTGTAGAGGTGAAACTACAAAAGACAACCACATGTGTACGTAGTAGGTACCTACTCCAAATCAGCATCTGAATGGAAACCAGCTTATGTTGACACCAACCATAAACCAGCTTTTAATATAACCATACTTTCATTCAAAGACAGGCAGAAGAGCAAAAATGATGTGGACACACCAAAATACCAGCTACTCTACCAGACTTTTAAGGAATAGAATCTTGTACACTGCAACACTGATGAAAAAACAACTTAGGGTGACTTAAGATAACTTACATACAGGATCAATAATACAATAATTAAGTAGACATTACTCTAAGAATGCAATACACACCCAGAACAATAATAACTATACAATCTGTTTGTTGCTTACCCTCTTCTGTGCAGAGAGAGCCTTCTTGACTGCTCCCTTCTTGGCATTCTTGTTCGCTGATTTCTGGGGTGCAGACTTCTTGGGCTGCTCAGCGGGTTTGGGTGCCTCGGCTGAGGGGGCAGCCTCAGCAGCTGGGGCCTCAGCCTTCTTGGCTGGGGCCACCTTCTTCTTGCCTGAAACAATTTGGTATCTATAAGTAATAATGCCAAACCACCAAGAATGCCATGTGTAATTCCTACTTAATAAAAGCATAAGTAGCAACATTTAATTATCTATCAACTAAACAAGCAAAACCAACTTAAAGAGCTAGCCCAGTTTTCACATTGTTTGCTGATCATGGACCTCCAAACCGTTGAGCTACGCCTTTTCTGCTTTGCCTGGTCTTAAGCTTAACTTTGCATGTTTTGAACAGAAATACAAATGAAGGCATTCAATTGAATAAACAGTATTACAATAATAGCAAAAAAAGGTAGAATTAATTATTTAAATACAGATCATGCGCAACACAGACAATCCCTAGCCCACCGTAACCTGTAAAAGTACGAATTGCAGTTGAAAATACGTCCTCCCGTTTCGATGAAAATTAGATAAACAGAGGTGAAGCTGTCAATAATAAAATTTTGTGAAAACAAACCGGTCAGAGGACCAAAAAAAGGTGTATATTTACCTCCTGCCTTAGCCTTAGGAGCCATGGTTACAAAAGGAAGTTACAGCGCTGCCATTACACTAACACGAGTTTCTCGGAAGCTTCGTCTCATTTTCATAATTTTGGCTTCCATTCGATTCCAATCACGATCATAATTTAATTTAATTTTTATTTGCTGACCATCATTCCACAAAATGTTGAGAAAATATAAATGAAACGGCTTTCTTATACGGATGATCATAACTTGATCATGACTACTAAAATGTAGACATGCTCATATGAATAAAACCGCTGTCTGACACAAAATGTCGCGGCCTTTAAAAATCATTTTTGAATATAAAATAAACCATTGATGAGAAAAAGAAAGAAAAGGCGTAAGTAAAGGGGTTAGAAGCTCAATGTGAAAGACCTGGTCTGGAGATTCGACAACGGCACAGTGACGGAACTTCTGTCTCCTGCTCCCTCCCAAAGCCCACATTTTTCGGGATGTTGCTCAAATGTTGAAAAAAATCATGTTCACGGGTCTAAATGTTGAGGTAATTGCCGACCTGTGTTCAACCGAAAATGTGTGTCATCGTCCGAACTTCGCAGAGTGCACACCTGCTGGCCTGAAACACTTAGCGTCATCTATTTGAATGCTCATTCCTGATGCCAGGAGTGTCACATGGTAGCTAACGCCATCTGTCCTAAGGGTAGTGGTAGTGCAGCGGTAGTACGGGACAAAATGAAATCGATTTGATCTTGCTTCGATTCAATAAAAACCAATTTACTAAGCAGGCCTTATAAAACAAGCCCGGAACTTGAATGTCCATAAAGTTAGCGTCGTATTCGTATTCGGATTCAAATTCGAGTAATGATTTCGCTCAAAATTGGCATACAGATAGCCCATGGCACGCTGAGTTCGAAAATGGTGACCTTTTTTTCCTAGGTCAAACCGTTTGACCTTGAGAGGTCAAAATACTGCGTACCCTGTAGAATCTTTGTTTATGGTCCGATTTGAAAAATTCGTCCACCAGTGTGTTCGTCTCATCGAGAAGCAGTAGCACATTAAAAAAACCGAGGTCAAGGTCATAAGTCAAGGTCAAGGTCACTTTAAAAATCGCCGTACCCTATAAAATCTTCATTTTTGGAGCTATCGAAAAATTTCGGCCACCACTGTGTTCGTCTCATCGAGAAGCAGTAGCACATTCAAAAAAATCCGAGGTCAATGTCATAGGTCAAGGTCAAGGTCACTTTAAACGTTAATTTTAGTCCCCGTACCCTATAAAATCTTCATTTTTGGAGCTATCGGAAACTTTCGGCCACCACTGTGTTCGTCTCATCAAGAAGCAGTAGCACATTCGAAAAAATCCGAGGTCAAGGTCATAGATCAAGGTCAAGGTCACTTTAAACGTTAATTTTAGTCCCCGTACCCTATTAAATCTTCATTTTTGGAGCTATCGGAAAACTTCGGCCACCACTGTGTTCGTCTCATCGAGAAGCAGTAGCACATTCAAAACAATCCGAGGTCAAGGTCATAGGTCAAGGTCAAGGTCACTTTAAACGTTAATTTTAGTCCCCGTACCCTATAAAATCTTCATTTCTGGAGCTATCGGAAACTTTCGGCCACCACTGTGTTCGTCTCATCGAGAAGCAGTAGCACATTGAAAAAAATCCGAGGTCAAGGTCATAGGTCAAGGTCAAGGTCACTTTAAACGTTAATTTTAGTCCCCGTACCCTATAAAATCTTCATTTTTGGAGCTATCGGAAAATTTCGGCCACCACTGTGTTCGTCTCATCGAGAAGCAGTAGCACATTCAAAAAAATCCGAGGTCAAGGTCATAGGTCAAGGTCAAGGTCACTTTAAACGTTAATTTCAGTCCCCGTACCCTATAAAATCTTCATTTTTGGAGCTATCGGAAAATTTCGGCTAGCACTGTGTTTGTCTCATCGAGAAGCAGTAGCACATTCAAAAAAATCCGAGGTCAAGGTCATAGGTCAAGGTCAAGGTCACTTTAAAAATCGCCGTACCCTATAAAATCTTCATTTTTGGAGCTATCGAAAAATTTCGGCCACCACTGTGTTCGTATCATCAAGAAGCAGTAGCACATTTGAAAAAAATCCGAGGTCAAGGTCATAGGTCAAGGTCAAGGTCACTTTAAACGTTAATTTAGGCCCCGTACCATATAAAATCTTCATTTTTGGAGCTATCGGAAAATTTCGGCCACCACTGTGTTCGTCTCATCGAGGAGCAGTAGCACATTCGAAAAAATACGAGGTCAAGGTCATAGGTCAAGGTCAATGTCACTTTTAACGTTAATTTTAGTCCCCGTACCCTATAAAATCTTCATTTTTGGAGCTATCGGAAAATTTCGGCCACCACTGTGTTCGTCTCATCGAGAAGCAGTAGCAAATTCGAAAAAAAATCTAGGTCAAGGTCATAGGTCAAGGTCAAGGTCACTTTAAACGTTAGTTTTAGTCCCCGTACCCTATAAAATCTTCATTTTTGGAGCTATCGGAAAACTTCGGCCACCACTGTGTTCGTCTCATCGAGAAGCAGTAGCACATTTGAAAAAATCTGAGGTCAATGTCATAGTTCAAGGTCAAGGTCACTTTAAACGTTAATTTTAGTCCCCGTACCCTATAAAATCTTCATTTTTGGAGCTATCGGAAAATTTCGGCCACCACTGTGTTCGTCTCATCGAGAAGCAGTAGCACATTTAAAAAAAAATCCGAGGTCAAGGTCATAGGTCAAGGTCAAGGTCACTTTAAACGTTAATTTTAGTCCCCGTACCCTATAAAATCTTCGTTTTTGGAGCTATCGAAAAATTTCGGCCACCACTGTGTTCGTCTCATCAAGAAGCAGTAGCACATTCGAAAAAATCCGAGGTCAAGGTCATAGGTCAAGGTCAAGGTCACTTTAAACGTTAATTTTAGTCCCCGTACCCTATAAAATCTTCATTTTTGGAGCTATCGGAAATTTTCGGCCACCACTGTGTTCATCTCATCGAGAATCAGTAGCACATTCGAAAAAATCCGAGATCAAGGTCATAGGTCAAGGTCAAGGTCACTTTTAACGTTAATTTTAGGCCCCGTACCCTATAAAATCTTCATTTTTGGAGCTATCGGAAAACTTCGGCCACCACTGTGTTCGTCTCATCGAGAAGCAGTAGCACATTTGAAAAAATCCGAGGTCAAGGTCATAATAGGTCAAGGTCAAGGTGACTTTAAACGTTAATTTTCGAATGTGCTACTGCTTCTCGATGAGACGAACACAGTGGTGGCCGAAATTTTCCGATAGCTCCAAAAATGAAGATTTTATAGGGTACGGGGACTAAAATTAACGTTTAAAGTGACCTTGACCTTGACCTATGACCTTGACCTCGGATTTTTTTGAATGTGCTACTTCTTCTCGATGAGACGAACACAGTGGTGGCCGAAATTTTCCGATAGCTCCAAAAATGAAGATTTTATAGGGTACGGGGACTAAAATTAACGTTTAAAGTGACCTTGACCTTGACCTATGACCTTGACCTCGGATTTTTTCGAATGTGCTACTGCTTCTCGATGAGACGAACACAGTGGTGGCCGAAATTTTCCGATAGCTCCAAAAATGAAGATTTTATAGGGTGCGGGGACTAAAATTAACGTTTAAAGTGACCTTGAACTTGACCTATGACCTTGACCTCGGATTTTTTCGAATGTGCTACTGCTTCTCGATGAGACGAACACAGTGGTGGCCGAAATTTTCTGATAGCTCAATAAATGAAGATTTTATAGGGTACGGGGACTAAAATTAACGTTTAAAGTGACCTTGACCTTGACCTATGACCTTGACCTCGGATTTTTTCGAATGTGCTACTGCTTCTCGATGAGACGAACACAGTGGTGGCCGAAATTTTCCGATAGCTCCAAAAATGAAGATTTTATAGGGTACGTGGACTAAAATTAACTTTTAAAGGGACCTTGACCTTGACCTATGACCTTGACCTCGGATTTTTTTAAATGTGCTACTGCTTCTCGATGAGACGAACACAGTGGTGGCCGAAATTTTTCGATAGCTCCAAAAATGAAGATTTTATAGGGTACGGCGATTTTTAAAGTGACCTTGACCTTGACCTTTGACGTTGACCTCGGATTTTTTTAAATGTGTTACTGCTTCTCGATGAGACGAACACACTGGTGGTCGAATTTTTCAAATCGGACCATAAACAAAGATTCTACAGGGTACGCAGTATTTTGACCTCTCAAGGTCAAACGGTTTGACCTAGGAAAAAAGGTCACCATTTTCGAACTCAGCGTTCCATGGGCTATCTGTATGCCAATTTTGAGCGAAATCATTACTCGAATTTGAATCCGAATTTTAACGTTTAAAGTGACCTTGACCTTGACCTATGACCTTGACCTCGGATTTTTTTGAATGTGCTACTGCTTCTCGATGAGACGAACACAGTGGTGACCGATATTTTTCGATAGCTCCAAAAATGAAGATTTTATAGGGTATGGGGACTAAAATTAACGTTTAAAGTGACCTTGACCTTGACCTATGACCTTGACCTCGGATTTTTTCAAATGTGCTACTGCTTCTCGATGAGACGAACACAGTGGTGGCCGAAATTTTCCGCTAGCTCCATAAATGAAGATTTTATAGGGTACGGGGACTAAAATTAATGTTTAAAGTGACCTTGACCTTGACCTATGACCTTGACCTCGGATTTTTTTTCGAATGTGCTACTGCTTCTCGATGAGACGAACACAGTGGTGGCCGAAATTTTCCGATAGCTCCAAAAATGAAGATTTTATAGGGTAAGGGGACTAAAATTAACGTTTAAAGTGACCTTGACCTTGACCTATGACCTTGACCTCGGATTTTTTTGAATGTGCTACTGCTTCTCGATGAGACGAACACAGTGGTGGCCGAAATTTTCCGATATCTCCAAAAATGAAGATTTTATAGGGTACGGGGACTAAAATTATGCCCCCCCACGAGCCGCTGGGGGGGGGGGGGGCATAAAGTTGCCCCCCCCCTTTACGTTTTGTGAAATATCTCCGAAACCTGATGAGCTACGAACGTGAAACTTGGCATAGCTTCAAATGAATACCTAGGCAATGTTTGAGAAGTTTGGTGGTTGTAGCATCTAAGATGACGTCACATTGACGTCATAAAGTTTTGTCGTTTTCCGATATGGACCGTTTCTGATGACGCTGAGCATGAAACTCAGCTGTAAATGAACTAGACAGCACCTGCTGTCATCCTAAAACATCTAACTACACTTCCATCTAGTTTCTGACCAATAATCGACCCTTTATATTCGGTCCCATATATCTGATGTATCGTTAGGAACATGAGAGTCGCAAATCTATAATTTCACTTATGACGTCACTTTGACGTCATTTCAAATGGGATTGACACCAAATTTGAACACAACCTCGGCTAGGTATTCAGGAAGATGTGTGCAAAGTTTCGCTTCTCTATCTCTTCGCGTTGCGACGATATCGTCGCAGAAGTAAAGGGGGGGGGGGCAACTATATGTCCCCCCCCCAGCGGCCGGCGGGTGGCGCGGAGGCCCAGCGGCCGCCGGGTTAAAGTGACCTTGACCTTGACCTATGACCTTGACCTCGGATTTTTTTGAATGTGCTACTGCTTCTCGATGAGACGAACACAGTGGTGGCCGAAATTTTCCGATAGCTCCAAAAATGAAGATTTTATAGGGTACGGGGACTAAAATTAACGTTTAAAGTGACCTTGACTTTGACCTATGACCTTGACCTCGGATTTTTTTGAATGGTGCTACTGCTTCTCGATGAGACGAACACAGTGGTGGCCGAAATTTTCCGATAGCTCCAAAAATGAAGATTTTATAGGGTACGGGGACTAAAATTAACGTTTAAAGTGACCTTGACCTTGACCTATGAACTTGACCTCGGATTTTTTTAAATGTACTACTGCTTCTCGATGAGACGAACACAGTGGTGGCCGAAATTTTCCGATAGCTCCAAAAATGAAGATTTTATAGGGTACGGGGACTAAAATTAACGTGTAAAGTGACCTTGACCTTGACCTATGACCTTGACCTCGGATTTGTTTGAATGTGCTACTGCTTCTCGATGAGACGAACACAGTGGTGGCCGAAATTTTCCGATAGCTCCAAAAATGAAGATTTTATAGGGTACGGGGACTAAAATTAACGTTTAAAGTGACCTTGACCTTGACCTATGACCTTGACCTCGGATTTTTTCGAATGTGCTACTGCTTCTCGATGAGACGAACACAGTGGTGGCCGAAATTTTCCGATAGCTCCAAAAATGAAGATTTTATAGGGTACGGGGACTAAAATTAACGTTTAAAGTGACCTTGACCTTGACCTATGACCTTGACCTCGGATTTTTTCGAATGTGCTACTGCTTCTCGATGAGACGAACACAGTGGTGGCCGAAAGTTTCCGATAGCTCCAAAAATGAAGATTTTATAGGGTACGGGGACTAAAATTAACGTTTAAAGTGACCTTGACCTTGACCTATGACCTTGACCTCGGATTTTTTTAAATGTGCTACTGCTTCTCGATGAGACGAACACAGTGGTGGCCGAAATTTTCCGATAGCTCCAAAAATGAAGATTTTATAGGGTACGGGGACTAAAACTAACGTTTAAAGTGACCTTGACCTTGACCTATGACCTTGACCTCGGATTTTTTCGAATGTGCTACTGCTTCTCGATGAGACGAACACAGTGGTGGCCGAAATTTTTCGATAGCTCCAAAAATGAAGATTTTATTTGACCTTGACCTATGACCTTGACCTCGGATTTTTTCAAATGTGCTACTGCTTCTCGATGAGACGAACACAGTGGTGGCCGAAATTTTCCGATAGCTCCAAAAATGAAGATTTTATAGGGTACGGCGATTTTTAAAGTGACCTTGACCTTGACCTATGACCTTGACCTCGGATTTTTTTGAATGTGCTACTGCTTCTCGATGAGACGAACACACTGGTGGTCGAATTTTTCAAATCGGACCATAACCAAAGATTCTACAGGGTACGCAGTATTTTGACCTCTCAAGGTCAAACGGTTTGACCTAGGAAAAAAAGGTCACCATTTTCGAACTCAGCGTGCCATGGGCTATCTGTATGCCAATTTTGAGCGAAATCATTACTCGAATTTGAATCCGAATACGAATACGACGCTAACTTTATGGACATGGAACTTGAAATATTCCTTGCTGGAGGACGGGTCCTTTGTGGTAACTTCCCGCCCCCCCCCCCCCCCCGACCCCCCCACGGCGCCCGAAATCAGTGGGAAGTCGCCGTTTTTCCACAAGAGAGAGAAAATGGTTATTTCATAAGTATGTTTCAAACTGAACAGCATTAGATAAGGAAATGAAATCCAAACATTCCTCCCCGTCCTTGCCATCCTCAGGATAAACCTATCCGTATCCCCCTCAATTCTCATTCCTCTGTTACCTCTCCGGTCTGACGGCCGCCCCACCTGACAACCGGAGCCCGGTGGATGAGGTCTCTCACCGGGACCAGTAAATCCTCTCCAGGGTGACCGTTTGGGAGGCGGGCGGACTGTCCCAACGGGGCGATCCGGTCCCACCTCCGCGCGGCTTAGGTACCTACTGTCGGTGGATCCCGCACAGCCCAATGTCTACGCCCTATGCTATGCTACTGTAGGAGGGCTCCTCCTGTGCCGCCGCCTATTGCTCGGGCGGCTAGATGTTGGCGCTGGACTGCCGCAGGTCACGCGCCGTGGGCTTTATGCCGAGCTTTGCGGCGACGGCTTGCGACAGTGTGATGCCCGGCTGCTGATTGGCTGGCGCTGCGACGCCAGGGCAGCCGCCGATTGGTTTCTCTGTGGGAACCTTCTGTACCTGAAGGTCGTCTGAAGGTCATTCTGGAGCCGGGGGCATTGAGACGGGAGCTGGGGGGACTTGGACTTGAACTTGGACTGGACTTTGGCTTGGAACTGGTCTTGGGTTAACAATACACTTTGACTATGTTTTACGTTTAACCTCTCACGGCCATGTGTTCACTACCATCTCATAGCTTTGCAATGGCCTTTTTAGGCCGAAAGAGCATGCTCCCAACAAAATAGACAAACAAGTGAACAAACAAAATCCAAACAGCTTTTAAGTTCGGAAGCATCTTTTTGGGTGGCAGGTGTGTCCCCGAAGAGTCCAAGACCGCCCTTCTGGATCCACCCATGCAGACTCTTGACCTCATCATCCAAGGATAAAGCTAATCGATACGATACCGCATTGCCGCATTCGTTGGTAGTTCCAAAAAGACCAAATCTCTGCTTTTATCTCTCGTTTGGGCCTTAAAGTATGGTCTTTTTAGTGTGCTGATGCGACAGGAAAGCTTGGGTACATTATATTGATAATCCAACAGTCTTCAGACACAAATCCAAATACGTCAATAGTTCAGATATATTTGCAGAAATAATAAATACAAGTGGGATCGGCACAGTCGTCGCCTCTCTAAAACGTCAGAGGGACGGGTCACAGGAAAGTTGCACCGGGTCCGCGCCGCCGCGCCAACACATCACACTCTACACACACACACACACATACAAACACGTGCATAGCCGGTGCCGCTAATGCTGGCTGTGGGAGGGCGGTGGCGCCGCAACCCATCCTCTCCACCAGCGTCACAAGTATTGGAAGCGGGTGACTCAACACAACAGTCGGATCTTACAGGCGAATTTACACGGGCCGTGCCGTGGGTGGTCCACTAGCGGTAAAGCGTTACCACACTGTCCAGTATTTACATGGTGGCGCTGCACGAGAGCAGAGTCGGCTTCCTCTGCTGCAGAAAGTCCGGCCCGTGTCGGGATAATCTCGGCTCACAAACCAGCACCAAGTTCCACGGAAGTTGTGTACAGTGGTTGACGCCAAAGCGCAGCGTTTGCGAAACATGGCACGGCGATAATTATGGTGTTTCCGACGCAGGAAATTCAATTGCAGGTGCAGCAATACACGCCAGTCATCCAGGACTTCGGACAACATGGCATGGTAGAAGCACGAACGCGTACGCAAACCAAGGCGCAATGCAGAGGTGGACGTTATGAAACATACCTACAAATCGGCTCACGACGTAGAAAGACGTATAAAGCTCGTACCGAAAGTCAGTGCGAGAAAGTCACGTGAAACTCTCAGCAGAGGCAGCGCGAGCATTGCAACATGTCAAAGACCACTGACAAAACATAACCATCTTCCTGCAGGCATCGAAAGGTTGAGAAACGCACACTTCGCTTTCCCAAATCACGGGCTGGGAGACACGAGTACAGCCGTCGCCCAAAAAAACACCCCTATAGATGTCGCACCAGTCGCGGCCAGCACCGCGCGGCGGCAGCCTCCTGCGAGAGACTCGCTGATCGGTGCCGCTGGGTCCACAGCGCCCCCGTGCGGTCACTCCGTTTGGCCGTCGTATCCAGCTGCGGCACATTCGCCGCGCCACCGTGCCTTATCACAGTCAGTTCTGACGCGCCGCGTCACCTCACGCCATATTGCTGACCAGCAGCGCCTTGTCACTGCACTTGACCTCGCCGGCGGCCGGCTCGGGCGCTCCGTCAGCAGGCCGGGTGGTGGACAGCGAGCTGCGCATGTTGGCCAGCGCCTGGGCGGGCACGGGGCCGGCTCGGCCGCGGCCGCGACCCCGCAGCACCTGCGACACACGCGCCTCGAGCACGCTGTTAAAGAAGGACGCCATCACCAGGTAGATCGAGTACGTGTTCATGATGAAGCTGTACGTCGTGAAGAAGAAGAAGAGGGTGATGTCGAGCGGCGGCATGGTCATGGGGCTGCGGCGGGCCAGCGCCAGCGCCAGCACCACCAGGTAGACGAGTCCGTCGAACACGATGGCCAGGATGACGCCCAGCGCGGGCACCCAGCTGGGGAAGCGGCCGGCGCGCCGCTCGCCCACGATGGCCATCAGGTGGGTGTAGATGTTGCCGATTTCGGTGGTGAGCGCCAGCGCGGCCAGCACCAGCGTGGTCTGGGTGGCCAGGAAGAGGCAGTAGCAGACGGCGGAGACGGCGTGCGTCAGGCTGGGCACCGCGCTGCGGCCGGCACGCCAGCCGCGGCAGCTGCAACAGAGCACAGGACGGCGTCAGAGAGCGGGACATAGAACAGAGAACAGCGTCAGAGGGCGAGACACAGAACAGAGAACAGCGTCAGGGAGCGGAACACAGGACAGAGAACAGCGTCAGGGAGCGGAACACAGAACAGAGAACAGCGTCAGGGAGCGGAACATAGAACAGAGAACAGCGTCAGGGAGCGGAACATAGAACAGAGAACAGCGTCAGAGGGCGGGACACAGAGCAGAGAACAGCGTCAGGGAGCGGAACACAGAACAGAGAACAGCGTCAGGGAGCGGGACATAGAACAGAGAACAGCGTCAGGGAGCGGAACACAGAACAGAGAACAGCGTCAGGGAGCGGGACATAGAACAGAGAACAGCGTCAGAGAGCGGGACATAGAACAGAGAACAGCGTCAGAGAGAGCATCACAGAACACAGCCGGGCGCATCTCAAAGGGCGTAACACCGGGCACAAAAACCCAGAGTACAGCCAGGTGGCAGAGCACACGGTGGAACACGGGGCGAGTACGGTTTGAGTACGAACAGCGGAAGGGGAACGCAAACACTCACAATAAGGATGTCCGCTTAGAATAGACGAGAGATGTCAATCAACGGGTTTGAGCGCAGCTCAGAGTGTCCTAAAACAGACGGGCAAACGAAGTACTGACGTACGAGTATTACAAAGCGTTGCCGTTGGTTTGCTTCAACAATTGAATCAGTCGTCCATGTCGTTATAAATAACCTCGCCGGAAAGCTGACATACGGCGTCGGCTTGTAAGAAATACACCGCTACGTGGGTACAATTAATCTTATATAAGCGACTCGTAAATCAACTGGGTCGCATGAATCAAAAGCCGCTTATAGAGTCACTCATTCACCTCACAAAATCAACAGGAACTTCTGTCCTACGCCCGGATTTGAGGCCGTCTTAATTTAATTTTAGACGGAAGCCGCTGAGAAAATATTGAGATATGATCCTCAGCTGCGGGCCGCGGCAGACGGACCGCAGTTTATGTTTCATTCTAGATAAAAGTCGTGCGGTCTGAGTAAATTAAGTCGTGCAGAAATGAACCACATCGCAGCTTCTGCATAGTGATTAGTGCATTATAATGTCTGGTGATTTAAGATTCTTTGGAAATAAAAAAGGTCAGCTTCAACATGCACAACTTTCAACGATTAATTGAAAACAAAGTAATAGAAACATAACTTGCATGAATACCGAAGAACTTATCGAGTCGATTGCTACCGTCCGTCTGGCAAACAACATGCCATAGCCCACAACCGCAAGCACATGACTGCAAAACCACTTCTCTCTCAAAACCTCGCATACAAAAAGTACCCCGTCTTCGGAGAATTTTCTTTGTCAGAAAGTAAGTAAACTCTGTCCTTCTAACGGGTGGTCAGTATGAAACTGGACAAAGTTTGAATTGTTACTGTGTCGTAAGTTTTCAAGCGAAAGCAACGAAAATCGCGTTACCGTGCCATTATTTTGTTGTGATCACGCTCGCCCTAATGGATCTGCGACACTGGACCTCTGTCAGCCGCCAAGCGCACGCGCGCTGGCAGCCCCGCCATTATCTTTCGCGGCACCTCCGGGTCGATTTGACGGATGGCCTGCTGGATTCTCTGCTTCAATTTTGCGTCTCAGCTGACCTGCCACCTTCCCTTATACACTTTCTGTTTGATGAGCCCCACAGATCCTCAATGGGCTAAATCTGAGGGGTACGAGGCGGGGTCATGTCACGTGCTATTTCGGGCACCCCAGCCTCCTCAAGAAGTTTCGTGTTCTAGCGCGCGTACTGTGACTGTTGCAAGGTGGGAACCTAACAGAGCATCATGCTCTGTGTTCTGAGACTCAATAAGTGGTAACAACACGCCATTCAAACACTTTTCATAGCACAGTTCACCCGTTACATTGCCTGTGCTCGGCAAGTAACTGGACGCACGAGCCCCTCGGACTCATGGCAAGCCAGACGGGCATCTCGGGTGGGTACTTGCTCCCAGGTCGAAAGCGAAGGTGAGATCCACATGTGGAATAGTGTCTCCACCAGGTGAGGTGTAAAATTCGACAATGGAAGGCATTTGGCTGCCACTTCAGGTGAAATCAGATTCATTGTCCATATGCACCTCCATGTTTTTGCTACCCTGTATTGGACCCTGTGACAGACGGCGCAGGCGGTTTTGCTGTATACGAAATTGTGCCTCCGTCACCTTTATCCTATTTCTGTACCTGATTCCTGCTTGTGGACATATTAATTGGTCATATGTTTTGAAGATTCCAAAATTTCTTCCCAGAGATCACTGGGAGAGCCCCAACTGTTCGGTGACGGCGCCGGTTTGTTTCTTCCGGAGCTGAATGGGCATTTTCTTGGTGATCTTGCCGTGCCCACCATGCAAAACATCTGCAAGTCCTCAGAACTTATCGATGATCACATATTCTTTAGATCTGGTGAGATCCTATGGCGTAATGTGACGCAAAATTGTAGCATTTTTGTAATTTGTATTATTTTCAAAAACTTGCGCGAACAGGTCCCGGAACGCTTGCTGACTTACCGGCGCAATGTTTTCTACTCGTTAATAGTAGAAAGTTGAAATCTGAGCTGGTAATATAGAATAACTGTAAGTATTTACCTGCCGAAAATAATTAAGATCGGTCCATAATTGGAGATGCTATGCTTAATCAATTTTTGTCCAGTTTCATACTGACCACCCGTTACTTGTCAGCTGTGCCCGCAGTTCTGTGTAATCCCTCCTTACCACGGCGCCGCCGGATGCGGCAGATATCCTTCAAACGCTGTTTAATTTTCCGCGCCTTTGAAGACACCGTCGTGGTGGTACTGCGTCGCCGGCGCGCTCAAACGCGACATTTTACGGAGCGCCGTCCGTCGCCGCCGGCGGCCGCAGTTAATTAGTAACCATGCGATAAAGCCGGGCTCACGTGATGTCTTAGCGGCACTTTCATTAAGATTGACTCAGCGATCCGGTCGGCATTTCTCAAAGTTTAGGTGTTTTATGATGGACGCCCGGCACCGCTCGCCGGCTGGACGCAGCTGGGGCTATCGGGGCGATAGAAGAGAAGGGCAATATTTGACTGCGATACATACCCGCTCCGCCCCGCCCGGGGAACGCCCAGCTATCAGAACGGTTCGGCATACACGTGGCTCGTATCACGGTAAAACGGGGCTACCAGCTCGTGTGTCGCAATGCCGAAACGGGGCGCTGTTGGGGTACAATCTTTCCAGCCAGCACATTACACGCTTTCAATATAACGGCAAAAAGTAAAAAGGTACACAACGTTTAATTACATCGACACATAAACATTAACAAGACGGTTTAGTCATATCGGACTAGCTTCACTCCAAAAGAAACGAACTTAAGCACATATATTGAGAACACTCTTGAGTCCCTGACTGGCCTCTCCTTTCCTCCCCTTTCCGATCTTCCCTTGAGGACACACCCTTCTCTATCTCTCTCACTCTCCAACTAGTGCTCACCAGAAGAACACATGTCGTCCGATGGCCACACAGATGGCCGGCACCATGTAGCGGGAGACGCGCTCGGAGGCTGGCAGGAAGCTCTGGTCGAGCAGAGGCAGCCAGAGCAGCAGCGCCAGGGCGTACAGAGCCAGCGCCTGGCTCAGCACCAGGTCAATGACACTGCAACAGAGGCAGAGACAGGGAGGTCAGAGAGACATCTCGGCGGCGGGGGAGGGACGGGCGATCAGAGGTGAGAAACGCATCAGCGGGGAAACAAGTCAAAACACATCTGCTGACTGTTTGTCTGTTACCTGCCATCAACTTGACACACGTCGACAACATAACAGAGGCCAGAGCAGAAGGCCGAATTGGCCGGAAAAGGGTCACGCTAAAGCACATGTTGCATGTATTGGGTAGCAGCCATGAAACAATTCATCAGGACGATTGACGGCGCTGAAAAGGTCAACAGCGTTCCTCTGTCGACGTCACACGTCAGGAACTAACTGTCTTCCGGTTGAGACAGGTCAGAGGGGCCTGACGGAGTCAGCACCGGAAGGCGTCACTCAGCGTACCGACAGGCAAATGCAAAACCGACCGTGACCCAGGAAATTCAGCTCCGCTTTTTGAGCTACAATTAGCAACTGCTGCACTTCAATTAGAACGCCCGAGGATAGGAACAAGGCCCAGAGACAGGAAGACGTGACAAGAAGACAGACTAGTTATTACGGTAACAGGCTCCGCAATCTGTCTTTCGATAGGTGCTCGTCCTCACAGCAGCGCTCAGTTTTGGTTCCGGTCAGCGCCGGTGGCCCTGCCCTCCAGTCCGTCAGGGAATACCCGATCGGCCCCACTTTCCTGTGCCGCCCGCCGACGGGGGGAGGGGAGGGGGGGGGAGGTGGCCGGTTTGGGCAGTGGGCTGCAGGACACCTGGCAAACTGCCAACGGACTGGCACCGCGGCCGGGGACAGGTGCGGCTATGGACGGTAGACGGTGGACGGTGGACGGTGGACGGTGGACGGTGGACGGTAGACGGTGGACGGTAGATGGTAGACGATAGACGGTGGAAGATAGCAGTGGAGAACGAACAGCTGAGGGTGGATACTGGGGAAATATGGCATTGTTGCGTTTCAAACCTTTCACACTGGGGGGGGGGGGGGGGGGGTAATGTTTCAGTAGGACCTCAGTCCGATGCGTAGGTATTTACCGTAAGAAGGTAACGATACACTGTTCCATTGTGAACATCTAGCAAATATCGGCTGTGGTTCAGTCGGACAGGGGGTTGAGAGGGAGAGCTAGGTTACTGTCCAAGCATTTATGCTTGTGGCCGAATGCCAATGGTGTCAGCGAAGCCATTTCAGCCACAACAAACGGAAAAGAACCAGAATCCTCAGCCAAGAGCTCTGCCAGACGGCCAAGTTGCTTATTGCCCTGATGACGTCACAGTTTACAATGACGTCACCGGCGGCCCGCTGACGTAGCGCTCCGTCCGATGTAAATGTTTAACCGTTCGTGACAGCCCTGTTGTCGGCCGACTGATTGATTACCCAACGTCCAATAGCCCCCAGCCAAAGTCAATGTAGAAATGAATGATCTGCCTTTATGTGTTTCAATCACGAGCGCTTAATTCAACATTCATTTAGCAAAATAAACAAAAAAGCAAGGCAGTTTAACGGAGTTTGCAGGCCACACTTCACTTAACACTTGATCAGTTGCATAGCCTTCTGCCTCTGTCATCAAAGCCTGCAAAAGATCCGCCGGCCGGACGGCACAGAGCCGCCTGAGTGTCATCCGGTACAGCCTAACCGCAGGCGTTTGTTCCCAGAGCCAGCTAGGGGACAATAGACAAATTTAGACGGTCGGAGGCAATAGACGGTCGGAGACATGTCAGCTGACGTCGGTGAAGAAATATAAACTTAAATAAGCGTAATTAAAACAAACGGCTGATGTCTAGACAAAACAGACGTAGGCAGGTGAGCCGTCGGCGCAGTCGACTGTCGCCTGACTGTGATCTGAGGCTTACCGCCAACCGTTCCCGGTAAGCTATGACAGCTGTCCCGCTTCTCGAAACTGCAGGCGCCGCGCGACGACATGCGATAGGGGGAGGGACTATCCAAGAACCAGCCACACCATGCCCAGGCGATTTGCTTGCAGCGCGCCATTTGTTTGGTTTTGGCCCCGGGGGTGACGTGTGGACCTAAACAAAATGGTTTACATCCCCCTAGTCACGACAAACTAGGTCACCTGGGCGGCAGAGACGTGTCAGTTTAGCAGTCAGCAGTTCATATTGAAGGCCAAATGCGACCTACATACTGTCGGCTTCCGCTGTGAATTGTGAACTGTAAATGACGTTCGGCCTGGCACCAGCGGCCCGGACCGGCCGTTATATCGCCGGAGTTTCCGACCGTGTGTCAATGTCCAAAGTCTGCCCGTTTTGGAGAGCCCAGCCCTGTGGACACCGCCAAAACCAGTCAGTCAACCCAGACGGTATGCGCGTCAGTGGTCGCAGCTGGCGTCACCTTCGAAATGGCTCCGGCCCACCAGATGAAGTCACTGTCCGAAATATGTCGTGTTTCTGATCAGAAATACCATCCTCGCTCGATCCACATTGCATGCAAAATCCGCAGGCATTATGACCCTTCAGTGCATACAGATTGTTCAAATATTTAAACAGCAAATGAGACAGAGCAAACACCCATAAATCCGAGGCCAACCGCAGGATTGAGCAGTCATGCAAACAAGTATTTAGGGCTTCTCATACCGTTCGCTCCTCTGATCTGTTACACAGAGTTGGCTGTTGTTGGCCGTCTGCACCCAAATCGTGTTATCGTTCATATCATGATCGATAACAAGACGGGCCGACGACGAGTGTCTCTACAGGATGGTGTTAAGGACTGAAGGTTGTAGTGAGGGGCCGGGGGGGGGGGGGGTATTTTTCGCAGCCTGTCACTCAATCCCCGCTCGTCACACCGTCCGTCGCCTCTGAGCGCGCGTCTCGGACTGTTCGACCACGTGGTGTTTGCTTCTTTCCCCGGGCCTGTCCCACCACCCCTCCCTCCCTCTGTTTACTGCGCGTGCCTTATCTCGGGTCAGCCTCCTCCCCTCTGCCTCGGGTCGTGTGTTTCCCCTCTCCTCTTCCACAGACACACGTCTCTATCTACCGTCTTCGCGCCCCCCGCCCCTCCCCTCCTTCCTCGTGCCTGCTGCCGGCCGCTCACTGACCTTCGAGCCCCTAATCGACAATAGGTGGCCCTATTACTGATTAGGGCTTCTCATACCGTTCGCTCCTCTGATCTGTTACACAGAGTTGGCTGTTGTTGGCCGTCTGCACCCAAATCGTGTTATCGTTCATATCATGATCGATAACAAGACGCCAAACACGCCAACGGAGCAGAATGTACAATACAAAAGCGGGCAGATATATGGGCAATCGTCATACACCCATCGTTTCTCACCTGACGGAGGACACTCACTGCTAGCCCGCCTCGCTCCGGCCGGCGCCGGCTCGAATCCAATCCATGACACCTGCAACCAGACATGTGAGCCAAAGACACCCCTCCCCCGCCGGCTGGCCCATAGCCGCGCAGTCCCCCCCCCCCCCCCCGTCTGTACCGCCCCGTCTCGGCTGGCCCATCGCTCCCCCATCAGCACTGAGAAAACGGTTTCTCCATTTTATCAGATTCATATCATATCCATCAATCTGATATGGATAGATCATCATATCCATATCAGATCTTCCCCAGATCATCGTAGGAGACCTGTGAACAGTCTATTGTGTAGTAATATACATTACCGAAGACATCATTGCAGACCTTTCCCAGGTCATCATGATTCATGTGAGACCTTGTGGAGGTCGTCAATCGTCATGCCATGCCTCAGCCCAGGTCAGCGGATCATATTGAACTCTGGTCATGTGTCAGACTTGGTCTAGGGTGTTTTGTCACACTTAAACGAAGAACCGTTTAGACTCCGGGTGGCGGTCGTGATAGGCATAGGTATAACGATTTTACCCCAGGTCATCGTGTGGGGTCGATGCCAGACCATCTTATTGGACCTTTGCCCAGGTGATTGTATAATAATAATGCTTTACCAAAGTCATCATCGCAGACCTTTCCTTGGTCATCATATCAGACCTTAATGAAGGTCGTCGTCAGACAATAGCCTTGGTCATTGACCGTAGTTACCTCAGATCCCGTAATGGAACTTGTCCAGGAATTGTAGCACAAGTCAACAAAGTCATCTAATTAGAACTATTCACAGGGCAAGGTGCGAGACCTTTGTGGTGGTCCTAATATAAGACATTATCTCCGATCAGTGTGTCGGATCAAACCCAGGTCAGAATATATTACCGCGGTCTGGATATTGTGTAGTAGTTAGCCAAAGTCATCGTCACAGACCTTTCCCATGCAATCTGGGCAGACCTTGGGAAAGTCGTGATAGAGGGCCTTAGCCCAGAACATCGTATCAGATCCATCCAAGATAATCGTCTTAGACCGTTCCAAGTCATCGTATCAGACCTTTGTAGAGTCGTGATATAAGACCTCAGCCAAGGTCACCGTACCATATCGCGTTGGGTAATACCTGACCCAAGGCATCGTCACAGACCTTCCCAATTCATCGTGCCAAACCTTGTTGAGGCTGTCATATCCGATCGTATTCCGTGTCATCTTACCATATTGACGCAATTTCCGTATCAGCTTTTGGCCAGCAGTGAGCACGGCCCCCACCCTCCCGTCCCCGACACCCTCGTTTGTCGACGTCCACGGGTCATCGGACCCGGCTAATGGGGCCATGGGCCCGCTCGGCGCCTGTTGACATCCGCTTCGGTCGACTTCCCGACGCTCTGGTTCACGCAGCTGGGACCCTCTCCCCATGGTGCCCACTCGCCCGGTCTAATTGCCGGTGCTCTGTTTCACGCAGCTGTGCCCCTCGCCCCCACACAGGCCGCCGCCATGCAGCGAATCGCCGTTTCACGACGGGCTATCCGGCGAGTACACCCAATAGGACCAAATTTGTACCCAATCTCTTTACGCAAATCTTTTCCATGAAATTACCTCAGTGAATTAATCGGTGATACTCTCTGATATATGACAAATGACAAAGCAGGCATAGCAACAATTATTGCAACCCCAGCTGATAGCTTCAAAGATCCACACTGACACTAACTGACCAAATCTGCACCC